CTAACCCTAACCCTAACCCTAACCCTAACCCTAACCCTAACCCTAACCCTAAACCAAAATGGTGAGGGTGGGTTAATTAAATCTAATAAAACCTCAAAAATCAAAACTAATAGTTTTAACCAAACTCAAATTAGTTTCACCCTACTAAAACTAAAACTGAAGTAATTCCCTAGACTAGGAACTGAACCCTCACCGCTGCGAGTTCGGTGAGGGTCGGATTTGATTTTAGCGGTTTGGTTATGCAACTCTAATATTAATATCTTTCTTACCTACCTTATTAAGCAAGAACTAGGATTCCTAATTAATTTTAAATTAATTAATATATATTAAGAGTATAATAGCCTATATTATATCAATAATAAGGTAGTTATATTAGTAGAAATAGATATCCTATACTATACTAAATAGATTCTCTAGTCTAATACTAGTTATAGAGATAGTAAGGAAGTCTTAAGTAATTAAGATAAGCTTTAGGAATTAAGAAGCATTTATTTTCTACTAGCTAAGAATATTAAAGGACTTATCTTCTTAAAGGTAATTTAACTATAGTTAGATTAATATAAGGATAATAACTTAGGGGAAGCGAGATATATATTCTCTAAGATATTTAGAAAGTTTATTACTACTAGACTCTTTATCTAAAGGTTGTCACACCCTGGGATCCATCTCTGCTGTTCTCTGCTAGTCAACTACTTTAGGAATGAGGTGATATAGTCCTGGACTATATCTAATACTTACCTAAGGCTTACTAACTAGGTAACCTTAATAATATAGTAGTATAATAATCTAAATAGGATTAAGGATAATCTAAAGGTAATATAAGAATAATAATAGTAGAGATAGAAGCAAGGCCTATTGAGTATATATACTTAATAGTGGTAAGTAACTAATAAATTAGATTAGTGAACTTATACTTAAGTAAGTAATTTATATTAAATATAAGAAACTAAACTAAGAGTGCTAGATATAATATAAGTAAGTATCCTTATATATCCAGATTCCCCCCTTAGGTAGTTATAGTAGATGGTATAGTAATATACTAGTAGATAGATTTATAACTAGTATATAGTTATTCTGAAAAATATTTAGTAAGTAACTACTAAACTATTTTTCTATAGAAACCTGTCTAGATTTAGTATTCCTCTAGATTATGCCCTGATCATTCCAGGATTGACTGGTGATCATTAATCCTTGGGTTTCTGCCTATCACACCCACCTCACGCTAGCACAGCTGTGTCAGTGCTGTAACATTTGGTTCCTAGATTGCAAACCTGCACTAAGTTAGGGGTGGGTCAGGGTTAGATCCAGGGGGTCACTGGTTAAACCACTAGAAACTATTTTGCTTAGTAATCACTAATTTTTCAGATTTCCATAGAAATATTAATATCACTAGATAGCCTAGTATCTAGTCTATCTAATTATGAAGTATTAATTCAAAAGATCTATTGGTTGGTGAGATATAGGGGAATAATCACTTTTGTCATGGGTTGGTATGAATGTGGTGTGGATATATATATATATATATCTAATAGTTGACAACTACTATGGTTCAGAAATGATTTTTTAACCACCACCTATTCAGCCCTATAGATATTGAATTAAAATTTTAGATATAGATTAATATGATAATAATTACTATATGTTTCATATAAAAATTATAAATATATTTAATAAATCCTAGATACAGGCCTAAGATAGGAGAAATTAAATTCTGAAAACCATTGAAATTTTTGATATTACCTGGGCCTACTGCCTGCCTGGATAGGTTAGTACTGCCTATCTAGGCCTAGTAGTGGTTTTTACAGTTAAACTTGCACCAAATCGGACCAGATCAGGGTCGGTTCCGAACTTCTGATTTCTAAAATTTGAACTCGAAATCGCAGCGGTTCGGTGCTAACTGGTTTTGAACTCACCCGAACTTGGACTAAATGCAACTCTAGGGTTGGCTGACCTGCATTCTGCTGTACTGGACAAGTTGTTTTTTGAATCAGCTTTGTTCATCATCTGCGATTAAATATGCATTTTTATGAATTGGAAGGGGAAAAAAAAAAAAAAAAAAAAAGCCCAATCTGACCGCCGTCCACAATACAAACTGATAGCTATCGTCCATCCCCAACTCACCCTCTCACAGCCCATGAAGGCACCTTGGGCTCCCACGGGTTAAAATGCTCATTATTCCTCGCATCCCACGGCATCCACTTATCCAGCTTCTCCCCAAACCTACTCAAATCACTATGCGCACTGCCCCAATTATTATTCAGCAGCCTCCGATTAAACTCGCAGGGCATCTTCTCCAGCGAAACAAGCGGCGCCCGAAACCACCGGCCGGTATCGTTCTCAATCTTATCGTCCTTGGCCTCGGCCTTGCGAAGTGAGTGCGTACCCGACGAACCGAGATGGTACACGATCTTCGGGTGCGAGCCTTCGAACCGGATCGTGGACGAGTAGTGCGTTGTGTAGTCGCCATGTGCAGACCACGAGACGAAAAACACTTGGTCATTGAGCGTCCACACAATGACGTGCTCCCAGTCGTGCTTGTGTGCGTTTGAAAACCCAGTGTCGACTTCAAAGTAGTACCCGTACAGATACGCGCACCAGCCGTGGTTGCAGCGCTCACGGACGTACGTCTGGCTGTGTTCTAGTCGGGCCTTGTCGCGGCATCCAAAGGGTGCGAAGGGACCGCCCGAGCGGATCCCAATCTCGCTGTCACTGTCGCTAGCGTTGGCAGCGAAGACGACTTGCTCGTCGTCGGTGGCGGCTCGAATAATTGGTCCTGGACCTGGAGGACGGGGTGGAGCGAGGGGTGGGTCGATACCAGAGTTGACTTTGTAGTCTTTGCCGATGGCCGCGGTCTGGTAGCAGCTGTCCGTGTCGAAGTCAAGGACGGGTTGGAACTTGATGGCGAGGTCACTGGCGGTGTCTGGGAACGGAGTGAGGAGCTCTGCTAGGCAGGTTCCCAGGAGCGGGATGAACAGGGCTAGTTTGTGAAGGTTGAGGGCCAGCATTGCGAGCGCTGAGGTTGGGGGCTGGGGTTGGAAGTTGGGTGTGCAAGCTGACTTGTAGAATAGTGGGTTTCTGAAGCGTTCCCAACAGCTTGATATATCATTCCTATTTCTGTTCTTCATTCAGAGACGCCATGCTTGTCGCAGCCAGCTGAATGCGATTAATTTTTAACGCGCTTCGAAAGAGGCGAAGCCTCACCTGAATCGCAGGCCATGTCCTCAATACATGAGAGTCAGAGCGTCCTGTCGTATTGTGCGACGCCACAGACACTTGGCTAATAAGTCGAGTGATACTGTAACATCCCTGCGGTGGATACATATACATGACAGGACGTCATTATGCATATTATAGCGCCCCATTAATCTTCTAGAACTGGCGATCCTCACTCAGGCCGCCGTTAGCTTGGTAGGGATGTTCAGCCCTAGCTACGTGGCTGGCCTGCAACCCCTGACATATCGTCGGCCTATTTTTCCTTCATGCACGAGGTGCTTAGATCAGCAGATGTAATTCTAGATTGGCTTTTCTTTGCCTGTTGAAGGTGCTACTAGTAAGGGTCTAGAACTGGTCGAAAACTGCCATCTGTGTTCAGCTGCAATTTCCCCGGAAAGATTTTCAGCCCTAGATGCTTTTCGGACCCCCACGTCATCCTCGCATCGGTGATTCCGATTGCGCACTTCGCAATTAGCAGTCACCGCCACTACTGTCCAAGCAGCCATAGCATGACCTTGCAGCAGACAAGCACTGCAGTATACGATGCGGTGAACACTTAGGGGAGAAAACGGCTGAGAGTGCTGATAGTGATGCCGGAGAACCCCGAGAGCTGAAATGCACTCCGGGCGCATGCAGGCTTTTCTGCTCCATAATACTATCTAGGCTCACAGTACCCCGCACCTCAGCTGGGTCGACAGACTTCCCAAAAAGCCCATCATCCATTCTCTATCATGAGGTCTATAACTTGTCGCAGTTTCAGCGCTGGTTGCCCGGTGAAGGTTAAAGAAGAAACCTCGCCCGTTCTAATAGCAACTGCTCTTGCTCGTCCATCAACACTGCCTGCCTGCTCTTCGAGCCAACCTCCAAAATGGCGGCACTCAAGCAAAGCAATATTATCCTCCTCTTCACGAGTCTACTCTCCCTCGTGCACCTCGCGACATCCCAAAGAACCCCCAACGAAAACCTCGTCCTCGCTGACTGCGGTATCGGCCTCGGCGTCAACGGCGGCTCCACCTCCCGCGAAATGATCTACTATCCCGGCGACGTCTGGACGGGCAACGGCGCCGACACCAATAAACCAACAATGATGGTCAATGTCCCCTGGTCCGGTTCATATCCCTGGGGCCAAAAGGGCGGCGTGTCCGCACGCATGCCCAACGGCGACGTGTTTACTGTGCACATCAATCCAAACATCAAGGACCCCATTGCTGCAGGCGACGCGTGGCATATGTATGAGATGAATTTGCCGCTCAAATGCTATAGTTATCATCGTGATAAGGTTTATAAGCTTGATGATGGCAAGTGGTGCTCAAGTGCGTATGTGTGCAATCATCGAGGCACGCCGACGCCGCATGTTAAGCCGGCTCCGGCGCCGAACCCTGGGCCTGCGCCAGTGAATCCGAGTCCGCCTTCCGGGGCTGCAATTTGTGATGTGTTGAATAATTAATGTGTTGGTGTTGTTGAGGTAGGGAAAATTTGATGTGTGTTGTTATTTGTGGAACAAGGAAGGGTTTGAAGTGTTGCATGTACCTGCTCGATTTCTGTTTTGTCATGGCATGCAATGGTGGGATTTATAGTTCAAGCATTTGGTGCGTCTAATGTTCCTACTCGCTTTTCATCCAAATAAATGGGACTTGGAGCTTCGTGTGGAGGGGGGAATTCATCGTGTTGTCTTATATGATTCTCAGGAGTATACCTAACAATAAACAATGCCTCCAGCAAGTATTTCACGTAATCAAAAATTCATAAGGAGATAGCCGTCCTATCGTCCCTTCGAGATGGACGCCTCTCCTTCCTGCACTGGAATAATAGGACAAACGGACAGGAAGCTCCCATCTTCATCTTTGGGCAGAAAGCTATAAGGATGGACTTGCTTCTATTTGTCCCTCCTGCTGTTTGAGAGTTAAAAAGGCCCCTAAGTTTGTTAGGGGACGCCTTGTGTGGTCCAGAAGACTGGAAAGTGGCCTTTTCTGCACTAGAAGACCATATGCTCCCACTTTGTTCCAAGACATCTTATGATTATTAAGATTTGCTGCTATGTGTGACTAACTTGCTATAATTTTTTTGTGTAGTCTACTTTATTCTCTTTAGTCACTCAACTTTCAAGTTGTTTAATGTGTGGGCTATATATCCTATCCCGCCATTGAATTATCTCCATTAGAGAGGGCTCAGTGTCATAGGGATATCTAAGACAGAAGCTGTTAAATTCCTTTATGTGATATACTAGTATTCTGCCAACGCCAGCAGTTTATATCTCAAACAGACCCCTCCAAAGATTGCGGCACCGACGCTGATTTATGTAACTTATGCCATATCCTGCTTCATGCATGAACCTCTTAGTGGCGAACTTCTCGGGCATCACGAATCATCAACACGGCCCATAGAGGCCGGTAACTCTGCAGGATCGAGAAGCTTTGCGCCCTTCACGATGATGAAGATACGAACTGGAATACTATGATGCCCATATTAACGGCTGACAGGGCAGCATAATTCTCCCAACTGTTTTTGGCCTCCCACCTTGGGAAGCTCAATGACTAGGGTCCGTAGTGTACAGTGTGCAATATGAGATATGTCTACATTAACTTGGCAATAGTGACAGTGAAGGCGTTGCTCTGATCCCGATACTCGAGAACCTTGGCAACGACCGAGCAATGATCTTCATTCTTTGTTAAATGTACGGAACAGGTGATTGCAATGCAAAATATCGATCCTTGGACTATGATGTTAAAGAAGTCAGGAGTTCCTGCTCTGAAAAGTATCTTGGTTCTGGTTATCAATCTCAGATAACTTTGCCAGCTGTCGAGTAGGCAATGGTCAGGACGTACGGTTGTGGACTTTCGAAAGCTATCTCGGTCGAAACGCCTGTTGCACCCATGCGCAAAGCTCCTCCTCACAGACAACAGAATAACAGCTCTTCGCTCTGAAATCCTTCTTCATAATCGACAGTTTAAGGACTCCACACATGGCCGCATCGTGTTGCTCTAGTACAAGTCCGATTCGATGTTCTACCAGGCCATATGCTGCCAAATAACAATTCCTCAACCGGAGCGTGTAAATTTTCACCCAAAAATACTGTTTACAGTATGAGAGACTGAGAACTGACTTTTTATTTCAAAAATATGCCACGCTAGCGTCTGCTGAGAAAGTCGGGTAAACATGATATATTGAACATGAGATTCATGTCTGTACTGCCCCATACCCTCTAGGAAGTGCGACACTCCTTTTCGATGTATTAAATGAGGGTCGTTGAGCTCATGCTGCGAATTACGGTTGCCAACTCTTTTTGGAACCGGCTAGCGTTTGAAGTCAGCTTGGAGGTTCATTCGACACGCCAGTAAAATGGCAGATTCGTTCAAGGAGACAGGCTTCCAACTCTCTAGACCGTGTATAAATGGTCAATGAACGACACCATCCAACGTTTATTACAGGCCATAAGCCCCACCACTATCAAGGTGGATCAACGGTTCAGCAACGGCGAGTCAGGACAACGCTATGATTGGCCACTCAATTTATTCCTTGTGCCAACAATTGCACGCGGACAAGGCGCCGCTACACAGATGATATTATGCCCCGCATATAACGGGCGCCCTCCCCTGTCATCCATGTTTCATCCGCCAAACCCGCCCCGCGAAATGACTGTTGAGGCAGAAATCATCACCGTTGACTCAGGCGATGACTGGGCGTCAACTTACACAGCGACAGACTCGGAAGTCACCTCCCTCCGCAGCAGCGTCTTTGATTATATCTACGAAAATGGGCGACGGTACCACGCCTACCACGCCGGTGCGTACTGGGGGTCGAACGATGAAAAGGCGATAGATGCGATGGATATGTGCCACTTTTTGTACGGTCTCCTTCTCCACGGAGAGTTGCATCTCGCTCCATTACAGCATCCGAAACGAGTTCTAGATGTCGGCACAGGGACGGGGGCCTGGGCCTTTGAGTTTGCGGATATGTATCCCACAGCCACGGTCATTGGGACTGATCTCTCGCCTATCCAGCCGCGGATGGTACCGCCCAACCTGAGCTTTGAGGTCGACGATTGCTGTGACGAGTGGATGTACCGGGAGCCGTTTGACTACATTCATGTGCGGGGGTTGTATGGGTCCGTGGCCGACTGGAACAGGTTTTATCAACAGGCTCTGAAGTACACCTTCGCCGATTCTGGAATGGTTAACTGTGCTAATGAAGGTGGTTGAAGACATCTAGTACCGGGCGGGTACATCGAGCAAGTTGAGATGGGAGTTGTGCCTACATCAGACGATGGAAGTCACGTGGGAACTGTCTACGAGAAATGGGGCAAGGCTAGCCTGGAGAGCGGTGATCGATTCGGCAAGACCCTTCGCATTGTCGACGAGTCAAAACAGCGCATGATCGACGCCGGCTTCATCGAGGTAGTCGAGCGACGTTACAAACTACCGATTGGGCCGTGGCCGAAGGAAAAGCACCTGAAAATGCTGGGGAAATACTGTCGGTTGGTGGTCGAAGAGAGTATGGAAATGTGGACGATGTACTTGTGGACCAATGTGCTGGGAGTGAGAGCTTGTCACCCTCAATCCTCTCAAAGCTGGTACTGACTCGTTCGCAGTTCTCTAGAGCCGAGGTTGAAATGACAATCGCCGAGATGAGAAAGGCAATCCGCGATCCCAGCATCCACGGTTACATCCATGTCTCGGTGGTGTATGGTCGCAAACCAGACAAGTAGCAGCTGCACCCCAGTCAACGACACAGATTGAGAATTGAATTTCATCATCTCCGTATACAATATGTATATGCTCGCTGTTCATTGGCTCGTCCCTTTTTTACCTTTGCGATTGTTCCCCTGGCACCGTAGCCCCGCAGCTTTCTACCTGGAGTCCCGCCTCCCCTGGTTAACCGGTCAAGCAGCCACTTGATCAGGCAAGGTACTTCACAGGGTTGATATTTGCGACAAATCAATGGAAATGTCAAGTGTGAGTATGGCAGAGCAATACTACCATCGCCTTTACCATCACCTTTGGAGTGGTTTTTCTCTGCTGTCTCATTTACCCGAGCTCCAGGTCACTTACACTAATAGTGGCCATATTGTCTCCCAATCTAACTAAGAGTATTTTACCTTTAGATGGTAGCCCAAGACTTGGACAGTCAGCGTTGAAATGCTGCGATGGAAGTAGGTTCTGTTTAAGGTGTCTCTTAATTCTCCTGCCTGGGACCTGGGTTATGTTTAAGACATGGAACTAAGCTGACCTAATGATTCTTCTTTACTTCATAAACCAGGACTAGAGTAATAGTGATAGGGAAGGTTCTATCTATCATGGTCAATCTGCAGATGATACTGTCTATTTAGAATATAAGCAGTATTATATTGATATTTATTGATAATGCATGGAGAGTTGGATTAAAGTATAGTTAAATTTAATTAACTTTGACTACCTAATATGGTAGGACCCCTTATCTATTATTCTATACCTGTGATAGTATTATACGATCCAGTCCTTAGTTAAGAATACTAGTCCTTTAATGCTATTTACTCCTATAGTAATAAGGCAGAGAAGAGCAGCATGTAAGTGCCCTGAAGAGTCTATTATAGTCTAAGACTCCAAAGAGAGGGCTCACTAGGAGAATCTCATGCGTGAGCTCTATGTTAGTCTAGCAGGGTAATAAGACTGTCCTGCTGCTACAGGCCAGAGGCTTAGTAATACCCTTATAATGTTTTTTATCCCCCTAGTTTAGCAAGATTCATTTTAGGCTAGAAACATGTTTGTTACATTAAATTACAAGCTAGATAATTTACTTCTTTCTTTAGCTACAGAAATGGATGTGACTATTACTAATAAGACATAGCCAGCTGAGATAGTCTATATGTTTACCATCTTTATGCCTTCTTAGAATATTATACTATAAGTAGGATAGGGAGTGCTCCACCCAAAGCGCAGAGCACCTATGTCTTGACCCAAATTTCAAGCACATCTAGTACTCTGGTTTAGAGGCTGATAACAACAGGGCCGGTCATGGGAAGTCAGCCAAAGCAAGGCCAGCCCCCCTTGCATTTGTCCGGCAGTCGAACCTGCAGGCTACAGAGGAGTGAGGAGTAGGACTGAACCTGTGCAGCAAACGAAATAAAAGGGCCGGTCAGTGTCATTTGTAGCCTGATTTGCGCAGGCCGGAAAGGAATGAGAATACAGTCTGTCAAGGAGATTATTTACATCCTAGGTTGCAGGAAGGCCCGTCTAGATCTTGTTCAGTGCCCTTATGGCAGAGTCTCGGGCCTACAGCGTGGAAAACAGGATACTGCCGTTTGTAGAACTCATACAATAGAAACTTAGAAGTAGTTAGTCTCCTAAAGTATACTAACTACTTTTAAATTTTGTTTTTTTCTTTAACTATAAATAACTATACTAATCCTTTGATTTTTAATAATAATACCATTATTACATTAGTATCTTTAAGCTCTATCAAATGGTATAGGTCTTATTATGATTAGCTATAGTTGTGGTGTTAACCCAACAAGTGAATCCCTATACAGAAGTATTCTACTGGTGAAATGTTTCTGCTGTAATCATGGTAGATTGGCGTATGGACTCGAGTAAGATTGTTAGATGTGGCTCAGGTATGAGAGAGACGAGCTCCTTAGGTTGAAGAGAGTACTTAGAGACATAGAAGAGTGAAGGTGATGCTACCCTTCTTTGAATAACAAGCACCAAGGCAATAGTATCATTTCCATATTGACTGTGTCAGGTTTTCAAATCTAGTCTAAGAGTAGGTCCTATCACTCTATAGCGCCACAGTGAGCGAGAAACATCATAATTGCAACCTGAATGTGGCAACTTCAAACGCACGAAGAGCAATGCTGATATTCCCACCCTGGATTTCTAGTGGCTCCTCGTCATCCTCAAGGATGTTGCATTTCCAAACGTTGACGACTGGCAAGGTAGTCTTGATGGTACCACTTGCATGCCCTCCCAGACTCTCAAACACACGGAGGATAATGCTCTGACCCTTCCTTCTCTCAGAGTCAGCCAACGAGACATCTTCGTCATCTTCTCCTCGTTTGACAGCATCTAGGATCAGTGATTCGTTACCCGTAAGGGTAATGTCGTCCAACGATGCCGGGCCTGGCCCCAAAATCAAATGCATGGGGTTGTTGAAGTTGTATCCCGCGCGTACAGTTCTAAAGTCCAGAGGGCCACGGTGGGGAAAAATAGCGTACCTGATACGATGATGGCCTGCGGAAATTTTAGTAAGCTGAAACTGCAAGGTGAAGGATTTCTTCGCAACTACTAACCCATATCTGCAGACGCATCAGGGGCCTTGGGAGAGCGCAGGAGAGACAAGCGCATGAGATGACCACAGGTAGAAAACCCGTACTTGCTATCGTTCAATATAGAAACCCCGTAGCCATTTTCGGAAAGGTCTGCCCATTTGTGACAGCAAACCTCAAACTTAGCCATGTCCCACTGGGTGTTGTAATGTGTCGGTCTTTTCACAATTCCATACTGAGTTTCATATGAAGCCTCAGTGTTCATCACGTCGACGTCGAATTCGACCTTCAGGAACTTCATGTCCTCGTGCCATTCGACCTCGGTATCGATTTCGATACGAGAGGGTTCATCATCTATGGCGGCATGGAGGCTAATGGTCGATTTTAACCAGCTCCGTTCGCTGATGATGGTTTTGGTGACGATGCTTGCTCTGTATGGGCCCCGCTCGGCGATGGCCGAACTCCCGCCTTGCAATTCCTTTCGGGAATTGAGATGGTACACCTCGACATCCCAAGCTTGACGGTATAAAGGCTTGTCATCAAAGATCACAAATTGATTAGCCTTGCCGCCATGGGAGAGAACCTGGCGGTTGTTTGAAAGATCAACTAGGGAGATAATTGACCCGTTCTCAACCTCCAGCTTGTAATGTCTGTTTGACAGTTCAAATACATTGTTACGGACTTCAGCAACGCAAACAACAGGCTCAGTGGGTGTAGCTGGAAGGTTTTCGACAGAAGCCACACCGATACCTCCCTTAATTACCGCGTACTGGGAGGACGGAAGCTGTACCAATTCCTTGCGGGGCCATGGCAGAGTGTTGAGAGCAATTCGTCCCTGGTCAGGGGATGCCTCATGCACGAACCCGAGTGCTGAAAGCGCTTCTCTGAGCAATCTCTCTCCACTTGCAAATGCGTCGGCGTAAAGCTTGTCAGAGTCATCGTAACACATTCTGATGCAGCTTCCTGGCAGACAGTCATGGAACTGGCATAGAAGGATGCCTTCCCAGATCTCATCAATATCTGTTTTCGGATACTGGTAACCGCTATTTTTGATGCTAGCCAGAGTTGCGAGATATTCAAGATCATGGAGCATAATCTCTGCTTTTCGGTTGTTCCATTTGGTCTTCGCCTGTGTAGTATATGTTCCCCTGTGCAACTCAAAGTAGAGTTCTCCATACCAGGTCACAAATTCAGTGCCAGTCGCCGCCTTACGTTCCAGAGCCTCGAAGAATTCATCCACAGACTTGCCTTGGTGAACCCGGGGCAGGAGTCCTACCCTGTCGCTCAAGCCACGGAACCGACGCAGGGTTTCAATTTGTTGGAATGTCGGGCCGCCTCCACCATCGCCTTTGCCGAAGATCAAAAGGGATGAGGCATCTTGGTCTAGCGACTTATGCTGATCAATGCTGTTGACAAGTTCACAGAATTGAGCGTCGGCATTGTAGGTTTCGGATGGGGGCATATGGCATAACACTTGACTTCCATCAAGAGCGACCCAGTTAAAAGTCGTGTGTGGGAAATTGTTAATATTGTTCCAGCTGAGTTTCTGGGTCACAAACCGATGCATCCCGGCGAGACGACATATCTGCGGAAGCTGCCCAGTATAGCCGAAAGTGTCTGGGAGCCAGAATGTTTGAGATCGCTTTCCAAATTCTCGCTGAAAAAAACGCTGGCCATAGAGGAATTGGCGAATCAAAGATTCCCCGCTAGGCATGTTGGTATCGTGTTCTACCCAGCTGCCTCCGATAGGTTGAAAGGAACCTTGCTTTATCTTTTCCATGACCCTGGCATATACCGAAGGGTAATACTGCTTGAGCCATTTGAATTGCTGGGCGGAAGATGCAGTAAAACGGTGCTCCGGGTAGCGATCAATTAGATCACACTGATTAGACCAGGACCTTGCCACCTTTCTTTTTGTCTCTTCCCATGGCCATAACCAACAGGTGTCAATATGGCAGTGTCCAATAGCGTAAACAATTGGCTCAGTATGGGACTCGTAAACCTCGGCCCGATCGGCTTTCTCTCCCAGATACTCGTGGCTTATCTGCCTGGCCTCGCGAATAGATGCATCACTCCCTTCGCCAGCCGTAAACACATCAATAATGTTGTTGGCAACCTGTAGCGCTTTGTGGCTCTCCCACGAGTGCTCAGGAAATTGACGCGCCGCCTCTATCGTCGCAGACAGTTAGTTGTCGCTCTCCAGATACACAGAGAGAAGCCATGACATACCGCTGATGACAGAAAAATCAAAGTATAATGCTCGGGCTTCCTGGTTGACAGCCACGATCTCAGCTTTCTCCAGAGTAAAATAGCGATCAGGGTCTGGAGGTTGATTTCTTGCGCCTTTTCCAAGACCAAACATCCCGTTACACGCCATTTCCAAGTAGAATGTGTGTTCCTTGCCGTCCCTGAACCTAGGGGGGATAATCCATTCCACGCGCTCTCCGTCTCCACTGAGCCCCTGCAGTGGGTGCCCGTCTTCCGTCCAGATCATACCTTCGTTACTAGCCTCCCAATGCAACTCTATGATCTCTTCATTCAAGAACCCATCAGGTACTCGCACTTGCACCTTGAACCAGTGGGTCGACCACCCAGGTCCGAAAGATCGGCCTACCTGAGTGGGTTGGAACTGCTGCGATGTGGCTTCGTCGAATGTAGGCCGTGAGAGGCCTGGAGCAGACCACACTGATAGTTGTATGGTTGGTTCACCACAAAATCGTGCCTTATATAACGATCTAGTGGCGAATGGAGGAGAGGTCAGTATCAAAGACGATTGATGCGACAAGCGGCAGCTCTTACGAGAGAAGATTTTGCCTCTCATATTGACCAGGCTGGATAAACGTCTCCAGACGATCTCGGTAGATGCTATGGACTTGCTTGCCAACAGGCCGTGCTGAGAACCTTGGATAATTGCTGTCTTGTGCCATATTTGATTACTCGTGATCAGTGCTCAGAGTGATGTTGACTTCTATTTAGGACCTTGCTGATGTTCTGAGTTAACCTACTCAACCTTATAATACAGATAATACTTGGGCCGGAGCTTCATTTATAAGGTCCAATGGGTAGACCTGATTGTCTATTCTAGTTTCCGAATCTGAGATCATCCGCAAATTGCTCCGTCGGTGCCTCTGCCAATTGCTTGTAAGTACTGGACATGTATAATGTCTAGCCGATCGGCAAACGAAATAAATTGTGCGGTAAATGAACCAGGACCAGAATTGACCGAATCCGCTGCTCTACCGCGAGCATCTTGTGACAGATGCGGTTCAAAGGCCGGCGGCTAGGCATCCCCAAAGCCGCGGATTGAGTCTGCTGTTGATCCCAAGCCCGCTAAGAAAATTAAAGAATCCTTCTCAAAGGTAAGCTTGTGGATCTACCCCAAAGTACGCCGAGATAGAGTTAACCCTAGTTCTTATCTGGAGGACTGAGCCGAACTGTAAGCCAAAAAGGTGAATATCAAAGGCGGGGAAGACTGTGGAGCCAAGATGGACAGCACTGTCATTGGCGAATTTTACACGTTCTTCGGTGCCAAATACCGCGAGAAAAGTCCACGCGCGCGACGAGCGTTGTGGTTCAACTCCTGCGAATGGAGAGATAGGTTTTATGGTTCACCACAAGAGATTCGCCGATCCGTGGTTGCGAAGAACCTAGTCTCGCCGTCATTGGACCGTCTTAATTCTATACTCAACTTCGTCCGCAGTCAAAAGCACAAGTTCCTTCAGGCTTGTTACCATCCCGGAAGATTGCGACACGAACCACTAGATGCCGAGTGGGTTTGCATTGTCTTTACGAGATGGGAGCCGAACCTGTGTGAATACGCAACCCATCTCTGGCCGGTCCAACTCCAGTTTCAACACCAGTGGATGATAGCCATGCACTAATACCCCGCCTTTCTTGAAACCCAAAGGGCTGAACAATTCCGTCCGGGGTAAGATAAAAGTCTTGGATCAATTGCCGTCAAGAGCCCGTTGGCTGGTCAGTCGCTTCAGCATCGAGTCCAGGAAGCTCTCTTTCCGGCGGTTCGACCTTTCTCCAATGTAAAGCGTTAGATTGCGGAGAATCTGGGGGAAAAGTGTCTGTTCATGGCCAAGTGGGCTTAACCTGAAATCAGATTCCTGACAAGCAATTTTAATACGACGTTTACTTATAAGCTCAGTCTTTCTCTCTACTCCTTGTCGTTTCGCTTTCATATTCCCGATACCAGCTCGTTGGGCCCTGACACTTGTACTGTTCTAGGCCTTCCTAACTAAGTGTACAGCGGAAATATTTCTCTTATCAGACAATACAACAGCCGAAATGGAGTCCACCAAGTGCACTAGTGAGACGATCGAGCAAGCTATCACAACAGAGAAGATGGAATCTCAGGTTGAGAAGGGGAACAATCCCATTATGCGCACCAAAGAAGATGACTTTGGTATATGGCAAAGCGTAAGGAGATACAAGTGGGTGTCTGCCTTGGCAATGATTGCAGCTTTTAGTGCATCGTTGGATGGCTACCGTAAGCATTAATTCATTTGAATTGACCCTCTTCAATCCTCTAAATGTCAATAGAAATCAATCTGAACGGCGGTATCGTCGCCAACAAGGGATTTATTCGTCAGATGGCCAGTCCGGGGACAAAGATCATCGACAGCAAGTATGTCTCTGCGTGGGGGGGCATCCAGGCTGCTGGCCAAACCATCGGGCAAATTGTGTGCTATCCACCGAATTAAAGACGAATCCAGGCTCTGGCTAACATAGGCTTCCTCGCTCAGTTTCTCCAATATGCCACTGAAAAGTACGGTCGAAAGGCGGCTTTTTACACGCTTAGTGTTTTCCTTACAGCGGTATGGACTTTGATAGCACCCCAACGTTTATGGACGGACTTTCCCCTTGCAACAGAGATTAATTATGCTAATATATTTGCCTTTCTGCAGAGTATCTTCGCTGAGTCATTCAGCACTTCTTGGGAGCACTGGCTTGTAGCCAAACTCCTTGCAGGCATGGGGATTGGCATGTTACAAGCCACGCTGCCGTTCTACATCTCAGAGATTGCACCAACTCAGTTAAAGGGGTTCCTGATCAATGCATATACTTTGTGAGGCCAACTGTTTGTTGAACTAGCCATGGGATCATCTACTAAAACTTATCCACATTCAGTTGGTTTGTTCTAGGACAGCTATTTGCTTCGGTGGCACTCAACAGACTCAATGCCCATAATCCATACGACTTCCGGACTGCTATTTATAGTCAGGTACGAAAAAGATGGCATCTTCAATGGACCCGAGCATGCTAACCCATTTCTACCAGTGGGCTATGATTGGGATTTCCATCATAATCATCCTCATTATTCCCGAGTCGCCCTGGTGGCTGGTCAGCAAAGACAAGCAAACCCAGGCAGCCAAGATTCTCCAACATTTTTATGGTCGGATTGAAGGATACGATATTCAGGAAAAGATTGTGCGACTGTTCCCGCTGTGTCTTTAACGCCTGCCTTATCCTGACTTGTCCACAGAATGCCATGGCGGCGACAGTCGCTGAGGAGCGTCGCATTGCAAAGGAGAACTCGCAAGAGGGAATGTGGGGTATTTTCCGTGGCCGAAACGGTATCCGATTCATCATTGCAGCTTGGCCAAAACTCACACAGCAGTTCGTCGGCCTGTCCGTGTTCAATACTTATGCTGTCTACTTCTGTACGTGAACACTGTCTTTCGGGATTTGTGGCTGACATATTTCAGTCCAATACGCTGGCAACAAAAATCCGTTCTTAGTGACTCTCATCCTTTCATGCTGTCAAATCATTGCAATGATTCTCACTTCGACACTCACGGACCGCCTTGGCCGTCGGCCTCTTACTGTGTGGCCCTATGCTGTCACTGTGTTATCGGTTCTGTGCCTCGGCATTATCGGATGCTTTGATTACACTCAAAAATCCACTAGCTCTCTTCTGGTCTGTTTAAAATCTCTGTTCAGTACATATACTTATGGCTGATGACGGACTCAGATCTTCTTCGCATGCTTGGCAACTTTCTCCACTACTGGTGCGTCCGCTATTGGATATGCCTACGCAGCCGAAGTGCCCAGACAGTCTCTGAGAGCGCAGACGGCCGGCTGGTCTCTGGCTGCTTCAAATTTGTTTTCAATCATGTTCAGCTTCTGCACACCCTTGATGATCAATGGAAATGCTCATTGGGGTGTCAAGACCGGTTTCTTGTAAGTGTGGAGAAAACTCCATTGAAGCAAGTTATTGCAAGTCTGCCTTGATTAGCGCTAAGTCCCATATACAGCTTCGCAGCTACTGGCGCCATTGCGGTGATCATTGGGTGGTTCATATTGCCTGAAGTATCACTCCGAACTCCTGCCGAGATTGACGAATTGTAAGTTTATCCATTGCAGTGGAAGGGGGTGATCGTGGGCATGCTAAGACTAATGTTATCGCGTCTTGACAGGTTTGAAAAGAGGGTCAACTTCCGCAAGTTCAAGGGACATGTCACGGATGTTGAGATTATTGCGAGGGCTCATTCTGCAACTGCCTCGCAGGTTGCTTAAATTGTCCGATTGTATTGATAGGAATAGTCAATTATAGTCTTTGCTCCTTCTGGTTGTCCATGCAGTTTATTCATTTCTTTGCCACTGGAATTACCATTTAAATGATCCCAAAGAGACCCCGTTCACAAAGTCCGAGATATACTTGACCCACCGACCGGATACAGTCAGACATGCATCCGTGGTATCCGTTGGCCAAAATTGTTAGGATCGTACAGGTGCGGTAGAAAGATATAAACATGGGTGTATACTCCGATCTCCTGAGCCGACATATAGGCAAGGATAGAGCAAGCCGTGAAAGCCTAGCAGGAACCGCATTACCAGTGATTGAAAGGCATGCGATAGAGTTCTCAGGATTCTTAACAAGACTCCTCGAATGAATAGACATGTTCTTGAAAACACAGCGTATAGAACACATCTATCCCTCTAGCTCATTTAATTGACAACCTTCAGTTATTAGGTAGGCAATTCCAAGATCTCCTACTAGACCGCTCTCACGGCTTTCCCCAGCCTGCCCACTATGGGAAACCGCACCCCTCATTCCCATCGCTGCATCTGGTGAGGACCACAATCAATTATTCAGGCAGGGTGACTTAGCTATTATTCTATTCGTCTCATGGCGCTGTATCCGGCTATGCTAGTTATATAGTCCCCATTAGCTAGTATAACTATGAAACCCCTATGTACCTGTTAGGCCCAGCTGTACTAATTAGTAGAGCTGCATTCAGTCTGAGTTTGGGCGAGTTCAAAGCCAGTTGGAACCAAAACGCCGTGATTTCAAGTCTAAATTTTAGAAAATAGAACCAACCCTGACCTACTGGGGCTTCGGCCCAACGTCTAAATAGCGGTTTTAGTTTGATAGAATTGGCCGCTTCGAGGTCGGATCTGGCTTTGCTATTTCATTATTGTTCCAGTGTATAAGAACGCCTACACTATATAGTCATTATAAGAACACTTACGGCGTCTGCTACTGTATTGGTACTGGAGTAAAGAGTCTTAACTACTGACCGAAAAGGGAATTCAATTGATGCAGCATCTGTACATTTTGGTTTTTGTATCTCAGGGCTCGTATTCCTTCTCGGGCCAGAGCCTGGTTTATCAGCGTGTTCTTATCTGTATCTAGAACAGGCCATCGAAGAGATTATCCTTAGACGTGATTTAAACTGAACCAGATGTAGCAGGGCTACAAAGCTTCCCCGCAGCGTTGCTCGTTGTTGTGTCTGGAACACTTGGACGCTTCCACGGTTGGACAATAGGGCAATCTGGGCTGGTAATCGCTGGCTTTGTCCTGAGTTGGGTGGCTGATAGAAAATCAAACGCATTCCAGCATTACACACCATAATTTGGTCTATAGCAAGTGATGCAACAGATCTGGTTCAGCTGTAGCGCTCTGTACTCAACATCGGCATTGATTATCACTAATACTGAGAGTGGCTCTACTCAGATTTGGTGTTGCTGTCGTGCTTCCAGACTCCTGCATCCGCCTGTTACCCCATGTGGCTTACCCGGTGTGGTTATTGCATTAGACTTTCGGGGATTGGTTATCAGGATTGGTGGAAATACTGACTTCAGTGGCAGAAAGGCAAGGTCCCAAGGTCAAGTTGAACTTATATTAGGTCATTCTAGTACCCCGCAGGATCATGCTAACAGTCCATTGTATACTGGAAACGATGTGCGAATCCTGTCTTACTTCCTCTGCCACACAACTTAAAAAGACAGACGTCTCCGCGCTCCAATTTGGTGAACCAATGTTTGAAATCTATTTTCGAGGGCCATTCCCAAGGCGCATCCCCTCTGATCATTTAAATACTGCAAACGTGGTGGTGTTGCACCTGCTTCCGAAAATGATGATCAATTATATGCTATGGCCTTGACCGAGGAGCAACTTCGCGCAGTCTCCTTAGCAGAAAGAGTGGGCGGGACGGCTTCTCTGCTGGGCTGCCTGCTAATCTTCATCACGTATTGCGTATCGGCTGCCTTTCGCAGGCCAATCAACAGATTGATTTTCTATGCATCCTTTGGGAATATCTTTTCCGCCGTTGCTTCGCTGATGAGCATGGATGGAATCACAGCGGGTCCAAATTCTGCCTTATGTCAAACACAGGCATTTTTCATCCAGTAGTACGTCACTACTCACTCACCCCGCGGACAGATCTTGGAAAAAATTCTAATGCCCTGGGCATGCACAGTTGGATGCCTGCGGATTCATTATGGTCCTTTTGCATGGCCCTGAATATCTATCTTACCTTTTACCGGAGGTACACGGAAGAAGATATAAAGAAGCTGGAAAAGTGGTACTTCCTTCTGTGTTATGGGCTACCTCTGGTGCTAGCGACCGTATTGATATCCATCAAGACTGATGAGCGAGGAAGGATTTATGGACCTGCTTTGGTAGGTGTACCCGGATATTAACGAATGAAGCAGTGTATTAATTCCCAGACAGATTTGGTGCTCCATCAGCGGCCCGTGGCAATTCCTTCGTCTGGTGTGTTTCTACGGTCCAGTATGGTATGTTTGTGCATATTCCAACCTTATTACCTCCCATTCTCATCGACTTAAAAGGGCTGTCAGCATCGCAACATTTGCGATATATGTCAAAGTGGGTAGCGACATCTTCCGCAAGCACAGAGATTTCAAAAGTGCAAAAGATACACTATCTGCCAGCGAAACAATCAGAAAGACTCACTCGATCACCGTTCAAGTAACCACAGGCGCCGAGGGACTCCTGGCAGCCGAGGGGGCAGCTCCGTATGCTGTCTGCATCGAATCACAACAATCCAGATCTCAAAACAGGATAGATGCTCAAAACGGAAGTAATAGGGCTATGTGGGGATATATAAGATATTCTTTTCTCTTCTTTATAGCCATGGTAGTTACTTGGGTATGGTTATTATTCTTCCCCCTACTGGCCTCATTTTGTGCTACCCTGCTTATCTCCTGGCGGCGGGCCCTGCTCTTACCAGCTCACACTGTTTCAAGGACATGTCTCTGATTGTGGGCGCAATTTACTGACTTTATTCTCTTTCCCAGATCCCGTCGTCAATTAACCGGATATACGGTCTCGTTCACCCTAACGAGCCCAATTTCGGCTTGAACTTGGCTGGCGCGTTGGTCCTTTCTCTACAGGGCTTTTGGAACACCATTATCTATGTCTCGACCACAATGCCTGTATTTCGAAGAGCATCGAGTTTCTGTATAAAGTCAATATACCCTCCACGCTTATTTCGCGAAACTCGGGGGGGGACACCGAGGAACAGGGATGGTATCCCGCTCAATGGAATGCGCTTTGATGGGAGGTCAAACGCAGGAAGCACCTCCTCTTTAGCACTACGTCCGCCAACCGGCTCTTCAGTGGCAGTGCCTTTGAGCGAATGTAGCTCCTACCAAGCAGAGCTACAACCATGAGACGAGAATTGATGAGCATTATGCGCCATCCGTTGATTTGCCTTCGATAATCATGCGCGAAGCCCCTACATCGATATAGTAGCCCCCGGCCCTTTGAAGGTAGCTCACGTAGATTCCGGCATAGTCCAGGCCGGAATTCAGCCAAAAGCCTGACTTTGTGAGGCCCTCAAGCAGAGGGGAGTCCTAAGTAGTCCATTTGAGCCCTTACCGTCTGTGGGCCGAATGCTTTGCCAATTCGGACGGCACATTTCAGGCCATCAGTCTGCGTCATCCACCGGTGGCCTATCGTCCGTGCAGAGCCTCCCTAGACAGTCCGCTTCTCTACAACTCTCGGGGCCTAACAACTCCACACACAACTGTGTTACTAGTTTGGGCCGTAGCAGCATAAGATGATTGTATATGGATATGATAAGCAGCAGGAACAAGCTCACTACATCACAAATAGCCGAGGTGGTCAAGTGTAGTAAGTATTCTATTACCAACATACACAAAACTTATCAGGTAATAATAAGTTGTGACAATATGTCATAATCTTAACCAAATATTCTGATCTGCAGCTTTGCAGTCCTGGCGCTTCTGGTGGTAATTTACCAGGCCCTCGACTTGATAGAATGCACTGATATTCTCATGGAGGCGCGTCACCAATGGTTGGTCTATCTGTCGCTGCTAATGCCTCCCGTAGCATCTGCTCGATTGTTTCTAGAGCCCCAACTTCGGCTAAATCAAGCGGCGTGCATCCGTCGAAGGAACTAATACCAGGATCAACACCAGCATCTAAGAGAGACTGGACAGTGTTTTCATGTTCGTTGTTCACCGCCCAATGCAGAGCCGTCCAGCCATTACAATCCTGGAGATTCCTTATTTCACTGTCTCCCAAGAGAACTTTGGCAATTTCATCCTCGCCCTCCTGGGCAGCAAGATGCAATGCTGTTTTTCCCCGGTTATCCCGGGCAGAGATATCAGCCTCTGTATTGAGAAGAAGTTCGAGAACTTTAATTTGACTCCCCAGAACGGCTCGATGCAACGCTGTATATCCGCTTGTATCTTTGAAAGACAGATCAACGCCATGTATGATGAGAAGTTGAACCATCAATTCGTGCCCCGCTTCTGCAGCCTCTAAAAAGGCTTCGTTGACGGTCTCGTCAAGGGTGGTGCCCAAACCAAGAAGCATTTTTGCGATCATCACATGTCCATGGAGTGCTGCATAATAAAGCGGAGTCCGACCATCGATATCTCTGACGCCCGTTCTGACTTGGATACTCAGTAACATTCTTACCATGTCCTCATGTCCCTCGCCAGCTGCATAATGCAGAGCTGTGCGAAGTTTATTATCAGTGAGATGTGGATTGCTGCCCCATTGGATAAGCAATTGGACGACAGCTTCATGGCCTTTCCGAGCGGCCAAGTGCAGCGCTGATTCCCCATGTTGATTTTGAATCTGGTCGAGAGCCCCGGCTTTCAATAAGGCTGTCGTTATACCAACATGGCCCTCGTTAGCTGCCCAATGTAGCGGAGTCCACCCTGTACGGCTGCAAGCATGGGTATCAGCTTTGTGATTCAGCAATGTAGGGACCATCTCTTCATGTCCTTTTGCTGCCCAGTGTAGGGGGGTCTGTTTGTTGTCATTCACGCTATCGACATGCGCTCCAGCTTCTATCAGCATTTCAGCAATTGCTGCTTTTCCTGAAAGGACAGCGAAGTGTAGTGGCGTGTTCCCATCCTCATCTGGAATTGAAGGACCGCTTCCAGCACCTAGAAGCAGCCGCACGATTGCAACGTGGCCGGCGCCACTGGCTTGGAGAAGAGGAGTTTGTCCATCTAAACGTTGAGCAGACACATTTGCCCCAGATTTTAGAAGAAGCTCGACAACGTCGACGAAACCCAGTAAAGATGCCTGATGCAATGGCGTAGCATGTTCGTGGCCTTGCAGAGAAGGGTCTGCTCCCTTATTCAGAAGCTCCTGTGCGATAGCAAAATAACCGTTGCCGGCAGCCAAGTGCAGTGGTGAGTCGCCTATTTCATCATGAATGAAGACTGTTGCCCCAGCACAAAGCAGGGCCCGAACTATCTCAAGATGCCCTTCCGAAACAGCCAAATGAAGAGGCGTATGGCCATGGGCATCCTTGACATCAATAGGGGCTCCGTGGCTTAGTAACATCTCTGCAATCTTGCTATATCCCTTGATAGCAGCCGCATGTAGAGTCGTTCTTTGAGCCTTGCCGATCCTGACATCCGTAATGGTAGCTCCATTATTCAAAAGAACCTCCACAACGCGATCATGTCCTGTTATAATGGCATAATCCAGTGGAGTAAGTCCATTCTTATGACGTGCATGAATATCAGCTCCCACATCAATGAGTAAAGACACTACATTGCAGTGACCGAAAGCAGCGGCCCAGTGCAATGGTGTGTATCCCTCATCATCAGCGGCGCAGGGATCGGCTCCTCCCTCCAGATAACGCTGGACAATGCTTACATGTCCACATGTAACTGCAGAAAACAAGATCGTTCGTCCATGTTCGCGGAGACTAGATGAGTACGCTGAGACAGCGAGCTGGGCGAACCCCTCCGCGGCTTGCGCGAGAGCCACAACATCCGAGGGTTCCAAATACTCAAACAGTTCCAGAATAATCTCTGGGGGAAGCGGTAGTCCCCACCAGCGGCCCATGTTGAGTGCTGTCTCCAGTGAGAGTAAGAATAGAGAAAGGTTGAGTCCAAGTGGCCAGTGGCCCTCCCGGGCCTCCCCCTATCTTGGGCGGAATACGAGAATTAGACCCATCACGTGCGGAAGAGAAACTGTGTGCCAAAAGGGAACACAGGTTGGGTAGAAAACCTTAAAATATTTTTCCTAAACATATTTTCATTCAAAGTAGCCTGATCAATGTTGAAGAGCAATGGTAGATCTGATTTCGAACAGTTATAACTGCATGCCTACTTCGATTGTTTGCATGTCACCTGACTCCTTCCGCAGCCACTCACCGTTTTTCTCCCTCCATAGCTGATGCCATACAAAATTTGTCATTCCCACCTCTATCAACATGTTACTATCGTACATCACCAACCAATCCACTTTGCCTCTGGATGTCAATTGGAAGACTCGATCTATTAAAATTTACTTTATGACGGTAAGTAATAGCGGGGGTGCCTGAATACAACCTTACTATTGAGACTTGCCTATCGCCTTGACCCAAGATGGACCGTCAGGAAGCACCAAGCTCTCTGCAGTTAGAGTTGCATAATCGAAGCGTTAAAATCAAAATCCAACCCTCACCGAACTCGCAGTGGTGCGGGTTCGGGGCCTAGCCTAGGGAATCGCTTCGGGTTAGGGTGCCCTACCCAAGGCCCGATTTGAGTTCGGTTAAAAACTGTCAGTTACAGTCTTGCGGTTTTATCAGATTAGGTGAATCCGCCCAATCCATGCTGCTTAGTAATCACTAATTTCTAGTATTTCTCTAGAGATATTAATACCACTAGATAGCCTGGTATCTAGTTTATTTGAATATGAAATATTGATTCAAAATATCTAGTGGTTGCTGAGATGTAAGGGAATAATTATTTCTGTTGGGGGTTGGTTTGAAGTGCTAGTGGTTTGTATATATATAGATGCATTCAACCTTCGACAAGCACTATCGTCTAAGAATGATTCTTAACCACCACCTATTCAACCCTATAGATATTGAATTGATATTTTAGATCTAGATTAGTATGATGATAATTACCGTATATTTCATATAAAAATGAAAAAATATCTAGAATTTCAACTTAGGATTAATGGTTCAATTGATGGTTTTTGTTATGGGGCTGCGGCCTAGGTAGGGCCGCCACCTCAAGGAGGCTTATAAGCTTGTTTTAGGCCTGGGGATTCCCTATGGAAACACATTTTAACCTTTTTGGTGTTGGCGAGTAGCTGCCTAGAACTGCTTCTTACAGTTTTCAAAGGTTAGTACAAAACTCAGACCAAATGCAACTCTAATAGTATCGTATTTTATAGGCTTAAGGTATCAGATTAGAATAGCAGTTTATCTAAATTATTACTAAACTAAATCTAACTATGGGTAGTTAGTAGGATCCTAGCTATACCTATCTAGGCCTAGTAGCGGGATTTATAGTAAAAACTTCACTAACTCAGAATAGACCTATTTTAGTTCTAATTTCTAAAATTTCAACTTAAAATCGTAATGGTTTAGTGTTAACTGATTTTAAAGTTGCCTGAACTCAGACTGGATGCAACTCTACTCCTGTTATATGTCATTTCTCCCACAAGCAGAAGGCTTGAACGTTGCTCCGCGGATTGAGACCCCTAACTGAAGTTGTGTCCACAATCAGTGGCCTAGCTTTCTCCTTTCTCCACCTTGGAGCCGGCCGCAGACAGAAAAGGCTCGGAAAAACGAGGTTGTCTTTCTCTGCTTAGACAAGCTCGATGGAAGGCAAACCTGCGGGGTTTGTAGCAGTCTGTAGTTCCCAGTCGTCCCTATCCCGCACATAACAGGGATTCTGTGCTATTATGGAGCAGGGCAAGAAGCTGCTTGGACCGACGACGTAAGTCACCGTCCCGGAGACATTCTCTAAGATGGAGGCCATGGCGCGGTCACACATAGTGTGGACCGGGCTTGCCCATTGACCAGTTATGGCTTCAAGGACCCATTTCTGCTCAAGCTCCTGTTTCAGTCCGAGCGATTTGGTGCTCAGCGAAGCCACTTCAAGATGGCGGAGCGCATCCATGATGATCGCGGCGGCGGGAGCTTCGCGAACCTCGAGAACCTTTTCGTCTGTGATGATGGGTTCGAGCCCGACAAAGCGGCCGTGACCAAACTTTCCTACCGTGTTGTTCAGCAGCGCGATGGCTTTGATCAATGCCATCTTTTGATCGTTGACGGAAACGAGTTGGCCACTTTCGAAGCCGAGCTTGACTTTCTCCGGCGCATGATTGACGACGCTTTGCGTCCAGACATACGCATCTTCTGGGATGGTGAAATCCTCTGGATCATCCAGCGGACCACTCTCAAACTCTCGGCACCACAAGTTTTCATCACGGCTCAGCTTGCGGTCTGACATGAAAGCCAAGCCGGCTTTGGCCAGTTCGGCCGCTTTATTCTCGCGGGAGCTGACCGAACGCACGTATGGGCTTCCATACAACCCAGAAAACCCACTGCGCTGAATGCTGTTGTTGAGCCGGCGCAGGCTGTTTTGCGATAGATTGGCGGTATGGAGCAGGAGCTTCGAATCCAATGACTTGGCATAATCGGCGACTAAGCGGGCGATGACCGGCCGACTGAGCGAACTGCTGAGCGGATACATTCCGAGATAACTGGCGTGAGCCCGAATGGCTGGTTTGATGCCCTGTTCAACGAATTCGTCTTTGCCATCGAGATATACGAATTTTGCATTAAAACGGGCGGCCATGTCGGTCAGCTTGCCCTGGTTGACGGGCTCCCCGACGTCCACCGCGACAGCGTAGACATTTTTGAATCCGAGCCGGTGAAGATAGAAGAGCAGGTAGGTGCTGTCCAGGCCACCGCTGAACATAGTGACCACGGAGGCCTCTCGGTCGCCAAGTGCTTCGATCTGTTCGAAGCTTTCTATCCTACTGAGAGTGGCAGGAGCCGGGGAGGAGATTGAACCCATGATTATCTATCTCGGTGGTCGGTCAAACAGGTGTGAACGATAGTCCAGAACACGATTCACTCAGAAGTAGGCCGCATCCTGGATATTGTTTATATATTTCAGGAGGACGGGAAGAGCGCTCTACTCATGTCCTGCCGCGGAAAAGTCGGGAAACATGTTTCCAGATACATATCCCTCGGGTGGAAGTGGCACGGTAAGGGCCCTCTCATCAGGTCAACTACGTCGGCAAGGGGGAACAAATGTCTGAATGCTCTGTTCAGTAAGGAATTTTACATATTTTCACAATGATTGAGGGAACCTGCTGGGTGGGGGACAGAAATAAGTTGCCACTTTCGGCGGACATTTGGTAACACATAATGACCCCATTCACAAGTACCATGCACCTCGACCCCGGACTGCCCGTTTCCGGAACCAGGAACCTGTTGTAGGCATTCCGATCCGTTCTCTGTCTTTTGACCGGGCTTATCGACTGCTTCACTGTCGCACTTGCAACCGCCATTTCCTGAGGCCGCCGAAAATGGCCTCACGGCACTCAGCTGGGTTCTGGGCCGCAATAGCTACCCTTCATTTTTCATGACCCTTTCCGATCAGTTTTCTTTCCTACTCACCCCTCTTGTTTTCTTATCCTATCTTCTACTTACCTGGATTCAAGAGCCTTTTTCTCTAAGTATTCCAGTCTTACCTGGTCTCTCACTTCCTCCCTTACTATATAATCAGCGTTCCTCGACTGTTTTTCTTCTTGAAGCTATATTAGGAAACGCCCACAATCCTAACCGAGTAGACATTTCGGGAGTAATATGGAGGCGATCACCAGCAGCAGCACCAACTCAGATAGACAGCGTGATGCCCCTTACAAGATGCATTGAATGGAGCTTAACAGTATCTCAAGCCCACAAGGGTATTATCAGTCGGTCAAAAGTCACTCTGCTCCACAGTTAGGAGGTGATGATAGTATGGGACTACCATACAATAACTCCCTTTGGGAAACACATGGTATTACCATTTGGGACGGCTTACTGTATTCCGTTAGGTAAGGGGTAAAAGTGTAGAGGAGGGTGCTGTTTTCAGAGGCGGACTTGTCGATGCCAGAGTGGATGGAGGAGCACGGAGAAGCTGTTGCCATGGATTGGGAGCAGACAGTCAAGGGGCAATCTAGGATACGTTACACTGCGCCATAATGTGGTACTTCCAGAGGGTTTAGTTTTAAACGAGGGAGAGTAATACGATAGAAGGCTCCCAATCAAGTATATAGGAACACCGATGGCGCCAGAATGTTCCCAGGGTCTTTTGAACTGACAATCTGCCAAAAAAGATAAAGGATGTATAGCCCTGGAGGGAGGAAGATCACTTTTCACAGTCGCAAGACGACCCCTTGGGAGGTATTGCGAAGGCAAGGGGCCGCCATATTTCTTGCTCGCAGAGCTGGGGCCGAATCTGACCTTTTCCAGGCAGTTCCCTGCAGCTGCAGAAGCGCCTCCATCCTCATAGTGAACTAAATGTTCGCGATGAAGCCGACGGCATGTGGAGTTTGTTGCTCGAATACTCACGGATTTTGTCACCCGTGACACTGATTTTGTAGGAGCACCCAGCAGCGTGGCTATCGAGCTGCCCTTGGTAGGATTATTTTCTTCTGCCTCTGATCCAGTATGGTGGACATTATGCGAACCGGTCCTCCAGGGTGGCATAAGCAAGGGATTGGAGTGGAGCAAGTATAACCCGTTCGAACTCCGCGGGCCTTGGTCTCCGCCGGTGTGTTGAATGGTGCCATCGCTGTGCTGTAAGGGACATGGGCAGGCCGACGAGTAGGAGAGCCCTGGCGTTTCTCACCTATTTCTGTGATGTTGGCCGTGTCGTCGATTGAGAGCAAATGCTGCTCAAGGACACATTGGCTTATGCATGGTGCTTTCACATAGATGTCCAAATTTCGGACCAAAATTTCGCTCACAGATCAATGTAAGGCGTCTTCGTCGGTACTGCTGGCTGGCGTACTTAGTTACGATTCCCTGCGCTCGGAGGACTGGTTCTTTCCTCTTAATCTGACATGGCCTCTATCGTTACCGGACACTGAGCCAGCTGATCATATATGTGTCCATACCATTCTCCCACAGCGAATAATCACAATTGCTTGTCTCGGTTGCCAAACACACCGAACCTTAAAATATGTCCTCACCGACAGACCCGTCTCTCTTCCCTGTCCTTGCACAGAGCTCCCATCACGATCATCCGCATGCCCATTCCGAGGTCCCGGTGGATATTTCAAAGCTTGACCTTCGGCTGTGCCGTCATGGGGTCGTGAAGTTACTGCCGCTCGTGAAAGCGGCCTGGTCATTGACTCTCCACAGGTTCTGCGAGGTTGACCATGTGAGTTTCGGATTTTGTGTTATTAGGCCAGACGGCTCCATTTCAGCGGATGGAGAGCAATGCTTGCATGTCTCGATTACGCCAGACACAAAGCTGCAAGATCTCGTCGATGAGGTTTGTGTTCAAAGCTTGCCGATGCCTTCACCGAGGGACGAGCTATACAACACCCGCTTGTCGGTGCAAGTGGTGACATCGTGCGAGGGGCTTGACATAGTGGTTCCAACACAATGCACAAAAGAAAGAGACGTGAAAGATGGCCCGCACTACGCGGTAGAGGTCCGGTTGACGATCGATCAAACCAACGTGAAACTAGGGTTGCAGTACGACAGTCGTATCCTCTCCAGGAAACAGGCGCGTGACGTCGCCAGCACCGTCGAACATGCTATTACCAGTCTGCGGGTAGTTCCACAACAGACCGTTGGAGAGACCAGCCTATGCAGTAGACAGAACCGCGAAGATATCACACGCTGGAATGACATCGACGGGGCCGAATCCACCACGTTGATCCACCAAGTCATCCACAATAACGCTATGTCGGCGCCGAGGAAGCTGGCGGTGTCTTCATGGGATGGCGAGCTGACATATGAAGATCTGGACAAGCTGTCTGATCGAGTCGCTGCTTATCTACACAGCTTCGGAGTCGGTGTCGGCGTCGCTGTCCCAGTATTGTTTGAAAAGTCCAAATGGTTTGTGGTCGCAGGCCTGGCAGTGCTGAAGGCTGGAGGGTGCTACGTACCAATTGACCCATCGACCCCAGCCAGCCGGTTGCGAGTCATGATTCATGAAATGAAGGCTGCTCTGGCTCTGACCTCCAACCAGAACTGCGAGCGTGTCAAAGGCATAATAGACCGGGTGGTCATCCTCAACGACTTCACGATCGTACACATGCCACGTTCCAGCACCGAATTGCCTCCACCTGTCCCCGGGAGCGCCGCAGGATACATCTTGTTTACCTCTGGAAGCACTGGTACCCCCAAAGGGTGCTTGCTAAGCCATACAGCCTTTGCCAGCCTGGCCCCTTCGCACAGCGTGGCCCTACAGATCACGCGGGATAGCCGGGTGTTTCACTTCGCATCCTGTGGCTTTGGCATGGCCCTCATCGAGGTCTTTTGCTCCCTAACCGCGGGAGCAACCCTCTGCATTCCATCGGAGACGGATCGTACCTGTAATCTGGCAGCGTCTATCAATCAGCTGCAGGCCACTTGGGCTATCCTTACTCCCTCCGTCATCCAGGGACTGAACTACGACGACATCCCCTGCCTCGAGACGCTTGTGGTGGCAGGAGAGCCGCTCCCGCGTAGCTTGGTCAAGAGCTGGGCTACTGAGGTCCAGTTACTTCAAGCCTATGGCCTGACAGAATGGGCTGGCATCTGTGCTGTGTCTAATCCGCTTTCCCCGTCAGCAGATAACACCTGCATCGGTCGCCCTGCGAATGCGCGTTTCTGGCTAGCCGATCCACAAGACCCTCAGCAGCTTGTTCCCGTGGGCGCTGTTGGCGAACTACTTCTGGAGGGACCATGTCTGGCGCAGGAGTACTTGAACAAGCCAGAAGAAACAGCGCGGGGGTTCATCCTGCCTCCACGATGGCGTTCACTGTTTCCACTGCCTCTCGCCTCCCAGCGCTTCTATCGCACTGGTGACCTGATGCGCTGCCGTGAGGATGGAACTTACGATATTATCGGCCGCACAGGAACCCAGGTCAAGATTCGCGGTCAACGGGTGGAGCTGGGCGAGGTGGAGTATCATGTTCGAGAGCACTTCGAATCCGCCGCGAAGGTCGTCGCCGATATGGTCATTCCTGCCGGCGAAAGCACCCCTATATTCGTGGCCTTTATCTTGCTGCGCTCCTCCGAAAACGGGTCAAACGTAGATGGCCCTATTCTAGCGCCCCCTTCGGAGCCGTTCCGCGCCAGAGCACAGGCAGCCGGCGCTTCCCTGTCTACGATACTTCCGCGATACATGCTGCCGGACCTTTACGTTGAGCTCACGCGGATTCCCTTGACCATCACCCGCAAAACGAGCCGCAAGGAGCTCCGCCGAGTGGTAAGCGAGAAGACCAGGGAGGAGCTGAATGCTTACGTGGAGTTGCGACAAGAACATCGAATGCCAAGCACCCGCATGGAGCGCATCCTGCATGGTGTCTTTGCGAAGGCTCTCGACGTGGATCCTTCCTCGATTGGGATCGATGATAGCTTCTTCCGACTGGGAGGCGATTCCATCATTGCAATGCAAGCATGTATGCTGTGTCGCAAACAAAAAGTCCATCTCACTATACAGGACCTCTTTCGACACAGGACTATAGCGAAGCTGGCGAGACACATCCGGGCTCCGGGAGGCAATCCGCGCCCAGACGCAGCTCTGGAACCATTCAGCCTCTCCTGCATTCAACAAAGCTTTCTGCAGTCGGCCCCAGCGCACCAGCGCAACGGTACCGCTCAGAAGCTCTTCCTTCGTCTCGAAGGCTCGGCCGACGTAGACACGGTGCGTCATGCAGTATTAGATATTGTCGAGCGACATCCAAGCTTGCGTACCCGCTTTCACCAACTCCACGATGGCCAGTGGCGTCAGCAATTCCAAGAGCATAGTTCAGTGGTATTTGGATGGCATGCGGAGCTGATTGCCGACACCACGGAGATTCCACGACTTGTCACTCAGCTGGAAAGCAGTCTGAGCATTGAAGAGGGACCAGTTTTCACAGTGGCTCTGACTGAATGTGACTCCAAGGAGCGCCACTTGTTGCTCGTCGCCCATCGTCTTGTGGTAGATAGCGAGTCGTGGTCCACAATTGTCAAGGATTTGGATATAGCGCTACAGGGAAACATCACCTCTTTGGATCCTGCACCCTCCGTGCGAGACTGGTGTCACGCACAGAAAGGACTGGCCCCAATTGCCCATATGTATTCACCTGTTGCCAACGGTCATAATGACGCGGGTGTCACTACAACCCCCGTCTTAGAGCTCCAGATGGAGCTTGATCGACAGCTGACGGAGACCCTGGTGGGCAAGGCAAATCTCGCCTTCCGGACACAACCAGTCGACATTATTCATGGTGCAATGCGTCACTCATATATAAGAGCACCGACTGCACTAGAGGCGATGCTTTATCTCGAAATTCCTAATCCGGGATCCCCGGACAGCGCTATATCCAATGCAGTCGGTTGGCTCAGCAATATTGTCCCGGCGGGGCCGATGCGAGATAGCGTCGATGAAGATGTCGTTGAACTGGTCCGACGGGCCAAGGATACACGCATACGCAATGGGGTTTTAGATCCGCCCAGTGACGCAAAAGCTCGGGATACTCTATGTGTACTCCTGCGATTCGATCCCGGCGATCCCGTTGTCGGGTGGCGAGGACAGGCTTTGGTGCCGGAACGTTTACCTGACAACTGCAGCAGTGTAGAAGCCTCACCTCTGGCGATGCTGGACGTCATCGTCAGTATGGTGCAAGGAAGACTATACTTGACCTTCCGCACCCGGCACGGAATTCTTTCCACTACTTTGCAGTCGTGGATCGAACTGTTCAAAAAGTCTCTACAAGAGGCAGCTGCCGAATTGAGTGAGATTAAGGATGGTTATACTTTGGCCGACCTTGCCTTGCCATCCTTGAGCTATGACAAACTCCACGAAGCACTTCCATCCTCTCCCATGCAACAGGGAATTCTGATAGCTCAAGCAAAAGACCCGAAGACGTATCAGATTCAATCAATCTGGAAAGCGAATCGGGAGGATCTTTTCCCAGCTGAGGAGGTTTTGTTTCGGTTTAGGAAGGCCTGGCAGCAGGTTGTGCAACGACATGCGATGCTACGCACTGTCCTGGTCGAGAGTACCAGGAACGAGGGCGGGTTTGATCAAGTCGTCCTCAAATCCGTCACACCAAAAATGGATTGCTTTTGCCTGCCACGAGGCGACCCTTTGGCCGTGATGCGTGAACACACCGAGGATGTTGACTTCACATCTCAGGAACCACATCACCAGCTCACGGTGTGCGTCACCGGGGGTGCAGCCTACGTCGGTCTCACCATATCCCACGCCTTAGTGGACGCGCAATCCGTCTCGATTCTGTTGCGTGACCTGGGGCTCGCGTACGATAAACGTCTGCCCGGGGGACAGGGCCCATATTACGGTGACTATATATCCTATCTCAGGAGTCTAGATACCGGCCTGTCTGCCGAACACTGGCGGGAATATCTCTCGGGAGTGCCCCCTTGTATACTCCCTCATCTGGATTATCAGAGTCTTGACGAGGAGTGTCTGAAAGAAACCAGGACGGTAGAGGTCGATATAGACGGGGCAGCGGAACTGGAACAATTTTGCGCGCATGAGGGCGTCACCGTCTCGACCATCTTTCAACTCGCTTGGGCCTTGGTCCTGCGCTGTTTTGCACAGACGGACGATGTCTGCTTTGGCTATCTTACTGCGGGTCGAGACGTTGCTCTAGATGATCTGGAGGATGCCGTTGGCCCATACATCAACACCATGATCACTCGCGTCCACTTCGGTCGTGGTCGAACGGTGCGGGAAGTGCTCCAGGGAATCCTAAATGATTTCATCAAGAATTCTCCCCATCAACATGCCCCCCTGGGACAGGTTCTCAGTGGCCTAAACCTTTCAGGCCCGCTCTTCAACACTGCAATATCTGTCCGAAGACCCTCCTCTCATATGGCAGGCAATGCCTCATCTCTGGGGCTGGAGAGTGTGTGGGAACTAAGCCCTACAGAGGTAAGTATTAAGCTCCTAGCCTGTCGATGCCGTGCCACTAACATGGGTGTCATGCTTCGTAGTATGACCTGACGGCCAACGTGTTTGTCTCCAGCATGTCTGTCCATATCTCCCTATCGTACTGGACTTCTACTTGCTCAGAGGAGCAAGCAATGAACTTTACCAGCACTTTGCAAAGAACGCTGGGCATGATCATCAGCCATCCCGACTCGTTCCCGGAACAGCTGGACCTATTCAGCGAGCACAATCACGCTTATGTCGAGAGACTAAATGCAAAGGCTTGTCAGATGTTTAACAAAGTGAGTGGATGCGTCCACCGCCTGGTTGATCAACAGGCGAAAGTGCAGCCTCAAGCACCTGCTGTCTGCGCTTGGGACGGCGAATTCACGTACGGGGAGCTTGACCACCTGGCCTCACATCTAGCCATCCGTCTCATCCAACGTGGAGCCGGCCCCGAAGTGTTTATCCCAATTCACACCGAAAGGTCGAAATGGACGTTGGTGGCCCTTCTGGCAGTAGTGAAAGCCGGGGCTGCATTTATCTTGTTCGATCCCTCCCATCCGCAGAGTCGACTACAAGCCATGTGCGAAGATTCCCGTGCCACCATTATCATCTCCTCTGAGCTTCTAAAGGACAGGAGCAAACAACTTTGCCCATCGGTCGTTGTCATCGGAGAAAGCACCGCCAGCATGACAACTCCCATCGCATCGCCCTACATTTCACCCGTCGAGCCTTCCAATGCGCTGTTCGCCGTCTTCACTTCTGGGTCGACCGGCAAGCCCAAGGGAGTTGTCATCCAGCATTCATCGTTTTATACGGGTGCCCCCGCATGGGCACGAGTACTCAACCTTACCAACAACGCGCGGGTCTTGGCCTTCGCCTCCTTTACCTTTGACATGAGCATCGCCGAGCTCCTGATGACACTGTGTCTCGGCGGCTGTGTATGCGTCCCCTCGGAGGAGGAGCGCCTGAATGACCTGGCTGGCGCCATCAACCGTCTGGGGGCCAACACAATGCTGGTCACCCCATCGGTGCTTCGGCTCCTTGATCCTAAGCAAGTACCCAACATGCATACGGTCCAGATCGGCGGGGAGCCGGTGTTCGAAACTGATTTCCAGAGATGGGCCGAGCACTGTACCCTCATTGAAGGTTACGGACCCGCCGAATGTTGTATCTACGCTTTCTTCCAGCCGCAAATCAATTGCCGCTCTGACCCCAGCAACATCGGCCATCCCACGCAGTGTCTGCCTTGGCTTCTGGACCCCACCGATCCTGGACGGCTCGCTCCTGTCGGCAGTGTCGGCGAACTTCTCCTCGAGGGCCCTGCGGTGGGACGGGGATATCTGAACCAGCCCGACAAGACGGCCGAGGTCTTCATTCCGCCGCCTCCATGGCGCAGCCGCTTCTCTTTGCCTGTCCAGGGAAAGTTCTACAAGACTGGGGACCTGGTAAGATACGGTCCAGACGGGACCGTACGGTTCGTAGGACGGAAAGGCACGCAGGTCAAGATCAATGGGCAGCGCATGGAGCTGGGAGAGGTGGAGCACCATCTGCGACAATACCTGGGTCACACAATTGACGTAGTTGTGGATCTGGTGCGCTTCAATGGACCATCTGGTCCCCCGACTCTGACAGCGTTCCTGAGGCCAAATCCTAAGTACCAGCGGCAAAGCTTTGCCATCTTCAAGGCAGGCCTCCCGTCGATGGTGTCAAGCCTGAAAGCCCATCTCTGGAGCTCTCTGCCCCGTTACATGGTCCCCATGGCGTATGTTCCTCTCCCGGATTTCCCTACCAATAAATCGATGAAGACGGACCGACCCCAGCTGCGGGAATTGGCGATCCGATGGAGTCAGGAAGAAATGGCCGGCCATGCATCTGAAGAGAAAACTCCGCCTCGCACCGCGAGGGAGCAACTGATCCAGAAGCTCGTCTCCCAAACCTTGCATCTGCCCGTCGACCAGGTTGGACTCAACGACAATTTCTTCATGCTCGGGGGCGATTCGTCTCATGCCATCAAGCTCGTGTCTCTCGCACGCGGCGAGGGGCTCAGTCTGTCCGTCAAGGACATTCTCAAGCAGCCGGTGCTAATGAATATCGTGGCTCATGAAGACAGCCCAGAGCTGGATGCTGCGGCGACTGCTCCTACTTCCAATACCAGGGTCAGCAGTGCGACGCATCCTTGTGGTCTACTTGGCATCAACGACGCCCCGGCATTCATCCGCGACACCATCGCCCCTCAGATCGAGTTTACTGCCGATAGCATTATCGACGTCCTGCCCACGACGGAGTTCCAGGCCGAGTGTATTCTCGACTGGCCCCTGTCATACTTCTTGGTGACGATGCACGGCCCTTTGGACAAAACACGTCTGCGAGCTGCCTGTCAGTTGCTAGTTGACCGCCATGAGATCTACCGGACGGTGTATGTTCGCCATGGGCCGGCCACCCTTCAGGTGGTTCTCAGGCAGATCCCTCTCCCATTCTCGGAAATGCAATACGACGAGGGCCAGGATCTCGACATGGTGTGTGAGGCGGTCTGTCGCGCCGACTCCAAGCATGGCGTGCCCCTAGGCCAGGTGCCCACCAAATTCACCCTCTTCTCTCACAGCAAGGACCCCCACTATCACATTCTCGCCTTCCGACTCTCCCACGCCCAGTACGACGGATACTCCTTGGCCACCGTCTTCAAGGATCTCTCCGCCCTCTACGAAGGCACTCCGCTGGACCCCGTGACGAACTACTCCGCCTACATCCACCATCTCGCCTCCCAGTCTGCCGCTCGGGCCCACGCCTTCTGGAGTCATATCCTAAAGGACAGCCCGCCGCCCATCCGCCTCCAACATCTCTCCCTCGGCGCAGAGCCCGAGGACCACACAGCCGGGACGCTCATTGGGCTCACTGAGGAGATCTCCCTCCCCAAACTACCCCCAACCATCACTACCGCCACCCTCATGAAGGCAGCAACCGCCCTCCTACTCATGCGCCTCACCAACGAACGCGATTTGGTCTTCGCACAGGTCGTCAGCGGCCGCAGCGTACCCCTTGCCGGGGTCGAGAGTATCCTCGGCGTCTGCGCCAACATCGTCCCCGTGCGCGTCAAAGTGCATCCAAAACACACCGTCCTGGACCTCCTCCAGAACATTCAAATGCAGCACATTGATGCGATCGAGTACGAGACCACAGGGATGTGCGAGATCCGCCGGGCCTGTCCCGCGTGGCCGGAGAACGCGCCACTGGGCTGTCTGATCCAGCATCAGAACGTCGACGTGACGCCGCAGTTCGCGCTGGGCTCGGTGGAGTGCAGTACACGGATGTTTGGCGGCGAGTTCAAGCGACAGTTCCTGCATGTGGTGACGTCGCCGCGGGGCCATCGTACGGTGGTGCAGATCTTTGCGCCGAGTTGGTTGATGAATTTGTCCTGGTGTAAGCGAGTCATTGCGCAGCTATGTGAGACGGCCACTTGGCTGGCGGCCAATCCGCTTCGTTTGGTGACAGAATGTCCGGATCAGTTGACTTTGAAAAATTAAAAACAATTAAGAAAAGAAAGATTGGGGGTGTCGAGGGAATGAATCACTGGTGCATAGAATGCTGGCTTGGTGATATTTTCTCGGTTGCATGTTGCATCAGACTTGTTTACTACGGAGTAAGGATAGAGGGCATTGAAGGAATTCTCAGACTAACTCACTGACTCGTTTCTAATAGACTCATGGCAAACAAGGCTACCAAGTCCAACAATTGTAGATGTAGGATATTAGTCAGTACTTTGGTAGACATTACTCTATAGTGCTGCCTGTCGCATCTGCCTTGTACAGTGGTGTTGGTAACATAGTGTTTGCCAAGACTTGTAGCAAGGAGTCTTGTTATTCACATGGATGATAATCAAGAAAAAATAAGTGATTGGTTATAATAAGAATCTCAGCATATGAAGGCTTGTTGTAATAAGAAATATTATACAGCAGGAAAGTTTAGAATTCTCAACACAACACCAAACCATTAACTACCCCTTGACCATAGAAATATAAAAATTCCTTATTTTCCTTATTTAAGTTTTGTATCAGATAAATAACAATACTTCTATTGATTATTTGTACTGATCCTAATCTGATCAAGGCTAGATACTAGGTAGCCTAGGTTTGGCTTCCTGCCGACTCATCCATGCTCAAACCAGACTATTTACATATCTATATATTCCCTGAGTGAAGTGATCTATGTCAATCACTATTCACACACATTGCCTCCTGCTAATCAGTTGCCAGAAATGACGCCCAGATGCATGGCCACCACCTCAGCCAATCCTTTGAACGTCAACGAGGGCGACAGCAAGTTCTGGAAAGAGAACTCAAGTCCAAATTCCTTAAATAGCCAGTTCCTCATCTCCGCACCAATCATACTGTCTAGGCCGTAGCTCGCAATGGAGGGTCCATTTAGGTCAAAGTCCTCAGCCGAGATCAGCAAGATACTGCTGACACGCCGGGCGATGTATTGAGCAATCACGGTCAGGATATCGTCGCGCTCTGCAGACCCTACAGTCGCAAGGAGACTCTGGAGCCCGTCTGACCGGGAAGAGGACGAGGATGCAGTCTGGCCGATGCGCTCCACCTCAGCTCGGAGGTGGACGAAGCGGGCATCCTGGTACCAGTAGGCGTCGACCGTCTGGTCCGAGAGCACTGCCTTGGCCAATTCCGCCGGTTCAAGACCCAGGATGATCTGCGTATCCTCAACCTCTTCCAATGACGCCACCGGAGACACTGCGCGGGACATGGCGACTTCGAAGCCGCGCAGCATCTCCTGCTCGTCGATCCCGTACATACCCTTTCGGAGCAAGGAGGTCTCGATGGCTGCATTTTCGGCCACCACCCCCACGTCCAGCACCATGGGAAGCACCAGTGACACACCTGGCCGGTGGTTCAGCCGATGCTGCCAGGCCAAGGTATCCAGAAAACTGTTGGCCGCGCTGTAGTTGCTCTGACCGGGATTGCCCAGTGTCGCCGAGATGGAGCTAGTCATGACAAAGAAGTCGAGGTCGACACCCTGCAGCGCCTTGGAGAGGCTCACAGCGCCCAGGACCTTGGGATCCACTGCTGCCTGGAAGCTGCGGCAATCCATCTGCTCAAAAACTCCGTCCCGCAGGACCATTGCGGCATGGACGACGCCCCGGATGGGACGCTGGGCCTTGACCTCCCGGACGACGCGGACCATATCGGACTCAGACGCAGCGTCCGCACGGAATACCCTGACAGAGGCACCAGCGGAAATGAGAAGATCGACTACATGGGCCGCCTCTGGTTTGTCGGCACCGGTACGCGAAACAAAGGCAAAGTGTCTCGCACCACGTTCCATCATGAAGCGGGTTAGGCTGCGGCCCAGACCACCGAGGCACCCGACGAGGAGGTAGCTGGCATCAGGGGAAAAGGTCAGGCGTAACGGCTGGGGAGCGACCTGTACGAGATTCGATCGTCAGCAGTTGGATTCGGTATGGATGAATAAACCTATCAACGCAAGCTTACCCGTACAAGGCTGTCATGGTAGCGGTACGTGACGACACCGATCTTAGTCGCCGGAACTGCATGGACATGGTTGTTGGACTGACTGAATTCGCTGATATCGTGCACAGACGCGATGTCGTTTGCCAGCCCTGGGTATTTCTGGACGAGATCTAGCGCCCGTTGGAGGACCTCTGACGCTGCCGCGGTATGCAGTGTCTTTACGCTGGTTGGCATGAACGACGCACCACGAGAGAAGGGTAACGGGTCTGGTGCAGAATCCAGCAAAGCTTCGTTCAAGACGAAGACGCTGCGAGCGGGAAGCTGCCTCCACACTTCTTGACTCAGGGGAGAAAAGTCGTGAGCGAGGATGACCCATCTGCGGTCCTTTTCACGCACACCTGTACGGATATCGTCGGCAAGGAGGACACTGCCGTTGTCAAGATTGAATTTGCTGATGTATTCCTGTTGCTCTTCTGGAGAACGGGCGAGGAGGCTAACATCCCAGTGCATTGCCTTGCCTAACCAAACCAGTGCATGCAGTGTGGGTGCTGGACCAGGCAGTGCGAGGATCTGGTCACTGCTGCTGACACCCGTTGTTGTGACGCACATGTTGACCACCTTGGAAAGTGCTGCTACACTCGCCAGGGTTGTCGTCATGTCACTGTTGGTGGAGTTATCCCAGCGGATGTAACAAGCAGTCCGTACGACAGTGGTCAATGATTCGGTCGAGTAGCCAATGACCTGATCGCCAGCCGCAACATCGGCACGAACTGCGGAGCCACAACGAAGCACACGACCGGAAACCACTATTGGGCTATTAGGAGTGGTCTGCAGCTCAGATGCAAGCACCTGGATCTCAATCTCGTCTGCCCCGAGGGCGGATGATGGTTCCGGCTCGTCGTACGTCAAGCTGAGCTGCCCGTCTACAATGGAGGATTTGAGGCGGACGCCGTCTGGTAGTGGCTTGACCTCAGAAACGTGAGAGGCGAGGGAAGCAGGAGGCGCCCATTCTGTGTTCAGTTGATGATTGGGAACCACGCGAGCAATATTCATTATCCCTTTGTGCAGCCAGAACTCGGTATCCTTGCCCGAATCCTTAGTCGGGGCGTCCCGCAACACACTGAGAAGGCCCTCTGCCACATCTGCCGGCTGTTCCTCCTGGTCGACGTCCAACTGCACAATCCTTGCTGAGGCCTGCTCGGACCGGATGACACGCAAGAAGCCCTGGACCATGCCTCCGAAGACGCAAGCACCTTGTCGGACGCCTCGGGTCAACCAGACCGTGGGTAGATTGGCCCGGATCAGGGACTTGAGAGCTTCAAAGGATTGGTCACTCATCCCGCTGAGCAGAGTACCATGGCGGTCATCGATGATAACGACTTCATTCTCTTGGTTCCCTGGGAGAGTGAACCGGTCCACGGTCGTGCTTTTGACAGTATGTCCCTTGTCTGACAAGTGGGCGATAAGGTGCCCATCCTCGCTCTGACTGGATTCATGCACGATAAGGACATCCAGTTGCTCATTCTGAATAGCGTCCATCAACCTGACGTTGCCTCGGGCGAGGAGCTGGATAAGACGTGCTCCCTTCTGTGGATCCGCAACAGGAACCTCGAGCACTGGATACAGAGCATTCTCATCCTTGACGCCATTCACAACAGGCAAATTTTCGTCAGGCCCCGACTGAATCAACCATTGGCCTTCCTTCATCAGCCCCAGGATCGCCTCACGGCCCCCCGACACACTTTCATCGACCACCACCAAGTCCAGGGGACCGGCAATTGCGGCATTCGAGCTCTGAGAGTCCTCAAGTTCGCTCATCTGGACGGCACGAACACTGCAGGATTTGGGGAGGACAGCTGATACTGCATCAACCACGTCAGGAGTATGCTGGCCGCAGAGCAGGACTGCCGCGAGTGGATGCCGATGATGGATCATTTGAACCATTGACACGAGGACCTGCGCCTCGGATGACCCCTTTGGCCACACCGTGGGATATGACGATTCCCGCAGTCGAGCAACGTCAGGCTTCCAGGAAACGGTCGCGAATGGAGCTGGGTCGATTGCATTGCTCGCCGCATCCGCCGGGACCGCCGCCTCGTAGGCCACACAACGCAGGCTCTTCACATCGACCAACACGCGGCCGCTCTGTCCCCTCAGTTGCGTGTGCGTGTTAAAGTAGCGGCCCTCACAGCTGTCGGTCCAGGCTACTGCCGTGCCCATGGATCCTTCTTCCCCGTCGCTCGGGAACCGCAGCGTCACTTCCTCCAGACGGATGGGTACCACACCCCAGGGCATCTCCTTGTGTTTGCCGCGGTGAATAGAGATAATGATGAGCTGAAGGCATGCGTCGATGGTGGCGGGATGGATCACGTACCGCGACTCATCCTGAACGACATCAGAGTGGTCCCGCACCCGCACCTCAGCCTCGGCGTGCTGGTATCGGCGATCGGTGCGCACCTGCCCCAACTGTTGGAAAGTTGGGCCGTAGTAGAATCCTACGCGGTGGAAGGCTTCATACCAGCGCTTGCCCGGGACGCGCTGCGTGAGTCGGGATGCTTCCACGGGGTGTTCATACTGATCCTTGTCACAATCATCAGGGCTGGCGGATATCTTGCCACGGCAGTGAGAAACCCACTTCCCCTCAGAGAGTGACTCGACGGAAAAGGCATACCAGGGAGTGCTGTTGCCTGCAGTCGGCTGCTGGTGCGCCAGGACATCCAGTCGCAGGACAATCTCAACCCCCGCTTCACTCTCCGGAACCACGAGCGCGGTGCTGATATCGACATCACGCAGGCGAACCTGTCCAACCTGCCATTGTTCCGTCTCGGCCACCTGGCGCAGAGCTTCGATTGCCAGCGACATATGGCCCGCTGCCGGGAAGATGGCGGCACCACCCAGCTGGCACAATCACGTCAGTCCTCGAAGTCATCATAACCGCTACAAGAATGGGGAGCTTACCGCATGGTCCTTGAGCCATGGAAGATCGCGATGACGCAGGACATTACGCCACACCCGCGACTGCGTCGACAGCCCGGTGATCTGCCGGCCCAACAGATCATGACGAGGCTGGATGAGACTGCGCTGTTCTGCACTCGCCCGGGGTTCTGCCCAGTAGCTTTTCTCGTAGTTCCACTGGTACGGCGGCAGATCCACGAGCAGACGGTGTGACTTGGGCATCCGAAATCTGAGGTCTGTCTTGCTCTCCTCGACTGTATTCACAGCCTCCAAATCCACAGGATAGTTGGCGACGAACAGGGCGCCTGCCACCGACAGCAGTTGATCAGCGTCATCTTTGCTGCGCACCAGCGAGGGAATATATCGCAGTTGTTCGAATTTATTGGAGAGGCAGATCTGCTTGAAGGGACCAGCCAGAGCCGAGTGCGGCCCGACCTCAACGAGGCATTTGACCTGCTGGAAGGCAGGGTCGGTTCCCAGGATGCGAACCGCGGTGTCGAATAGAACGCGCGAGCGCAGATTATCGCTCCAGTATGAGGGAGGAAGCGAGTCCGTCGCCATGCCCACCGGCTGGCCCGTCACCGAAGAGATCATAGCTGATCGGGGACGGCGCCAGCGTAGATCATGCTTGCTGAGTGTGACAAGAGCGCGGGCCAACAGGTCATCATACGCCGCACCGACCGCCGCCATATGAGGTGAGTGATAGGCTCGTCCCGTCTTGAGCTCGCGCGCAAACACCTTGGCGTTGTCGAACTTTTCCTTAACCTCGCGCACATACTGGGGCATTCCACTCAGGGTGACACTGCTGGGGGAGTTCTCGCAAGCGATGCACAGTTGTTCCGGTGCATAAGGAGCCAGATACTCACCTACGGCATCCACTCCCAGTCCGACGGCCAGCATCGACCCTTGGCCGGAGTGTCCGTGGACGGCACGACCGCGGCAATAGGCAGCGAGCATGGCTTCAGGAGCGGATAGAAGACCGGCAGCATACGCCGCGGCGATCTCCCCGGACGAGTGTCCCACACTGACGGAGGGGGCCACACCCCATTCGGAGAGAAGGTCCACAAGCGCAATCTGGACAGCTGTGCAAAGGGGCTGGGCAACTTCAGCCTCATTGATGGTGCGCGAGACGTACTCGATATCGCCTTGGAGGAGATCAACTAGACGGAAGGAAGGGGCCGGGTCCAGGCGGGCCAGGATGTGGTCAAGTTTCTGGATCGTTCGAAGGAAGGAAGGAAATGTCTTCGCTGCTACCTGTCCCATTCCTGCCCATTGCGCCTATCAGGGCATGTTAGCAGTTGCACCGACCTTGCTCACCATAGTAGGACAGCTACTTACGCCTTGACCGGTGAAGAGGAAGCCGACTTCGGGAGGCACAGGGAAAGCCACACCAGACTGCACTGCAGACTGATCAAACACTTCAGTCGCTTGAGCATCACGAGCGATGGCAAATGCCCTTTGTCCCCATCGTGTTCGGTTCATGTTGAGGGTGTATGCCAGATCCATCATGTAGTAATCCCCAGCCACCTTGCTGATAGCCGTAACATTTCGTGCGAGCGTTGCCTTGTCATGAGCCGAGAAGCACAGCACGAATGGTCTATCATAGGAGCGCGTATAGGGAGCATCGCGCTTGGCACGGGCGTGCTGGTACCAGGGATAGAGAGCCTCGACCGACTCGATAATGACATGACCGTTGGTGCCTCCATAGCCAAAAGAGGAGACGCTGGCTCGACGGACGTTGAATTCCTGGGGCCATGGGGCGGTGTCGACATTGACCTTGACGTTCCACTCCTTCTCGTGGACTGCGGCATTTTATGTGAGTCAAAGGAAAAGGAAAGAAAGTCGACGAAGGTAAACGTACTGGCTGGATTCAACCGCTGAAAGTGGGCAACACCGGGGATCACACCGGCCTCCGTCATTAGGGCAGCTTTCATGACGGCAAAGATGCCACTAGCGGCCTCACTGTGGCCAATATTTGGTTTAACCTGTACCCTAGTGTCAGTTGAGACCGTCGTAAAATGTCCAGGAGAGGAAAAACATACAGCACCCAAGAGAAGCGGCTTCTCCGTTGACCGGGTGTCGTTCATCGCACTGGCAATGGCCCGGACTTCGATTGGATCGCCTACGGGAGTTCCCGTTCCATGCAGTTCGGCATAGGCAGTGGCATTCGGGTCTAGTCCGGCCTTCTCGTATGCCATCCGGACGACAGTTTCTTGCCCTTTGCCGCTGGGATGGGTGATGCCCATGCCTTCGACCTTTCCGTTTCTGTGAATGACACTGTTAGATCTCAGATTCCGCGGCCAGTCGGAGAAGAGATGCCTACGTGTTGACTGCACTTGCTCGAATCACTCCTCGAACGGGATCCCCATCCCGAATTGCATCCTGGAGACGCTTCAGATACAAGGCACCGGCCCCTTCGGCGCGGCCATAACCATCAGCCGACGCATCAAAAGTGTGGCAGGTCGAAGTGGGGGAGAGTATTCCAAGTTTGGCTGTGTTCATGTGCTGGTCGACGGTGATGATTAGATTGACTCCACCGACCAGGGCAGCATCGCAGTCGCGCGCGCGAAGGGCGTTGCAGGCGTTATGGATGGCATAGATGGACGAGGAGCAGGCGGTGTTGATGGTGAAGCTAGGGCCTTTGAGGTTGAAGATGTTGCCGACCCTGTTGCTGATGATGCCAGGGTCCACTCCTGTGGCTGCGTAGTTGTGACGGAAGTCCGGGTCGCGGATTGACATTTGTTCTATCAAGGCATCAGTATGCTGAAGACAAGGGGGCAGTACTTGAAAAGAGGAAGGTATGGACAGACGCACGGTAATCCGAGGTGAATGATCCCACAAAAACAGCAGTGTTGGAGCCTGCCACCGACTCCAGTGAGAGTCCAGCATTTTCCAGGCATTCGTAGGCGACCTCGAGGATCTTCCGTTGCTGGGGATCCAGCCATTGGGCCTCAATAGGGGTCATGTTGAACGCTGTGGGATCAAAGTCCTCCGGACGGCCATCCAGGAAGTATCCGCCGGGCACATTGAAGGAACCCGGACGCTCCAGATTGGAATGGTAATAGGCATCGATATTGAAACGGGATTCAGGAACTCGCGAGGTCTGGCCGGATTGCTTTTTCACGAGCATCTCCCAGAACGAGGAGGGAGAGTCCACCCCACCTGGTAAACGGCATGCTGATCCTGGTCAGATTGCGCAGACAACAGATGATCATGTCTTAACGGGACTCACCCATGCCACAGATGGCGATTGGCTCCAGCATAGGAACATCTCCTGGGGGGCTATACGTGCGGTGAGGCATTGTGGAAGGAGATTTGGCAGTCGAGGACAGCAAGCGGTATTGACTTGGAAGTGATGGTACAGTGATGCTCCTTCACGAAGGCGTCGTTGGCGGTGATGGTGTCGAGATACGGCGTAGAAGGGCTGATATAAAGCAATCCGTTGGGACACTCTCGGAGGACTTCAATACGCGTCGGTGGCTGCAACGAAGAGAAAGCCCCGAGAAGGTTCGAGATCGGCTGCAATCAACATCTCCGTAACCCGCTTGTCCCTTGCAAAGCAGCGTTCGGGCCACATTGGCCGAGGTTTTTGGCCGCAAGTGAAACTGCTCGCTTGATGAAACGGTCATCACGGCCCGTTGAGCCCACCAATTGTACTGGCACTCTTGAGCTAGGTGCCGTCAATAGAAGAGAGACAGCGAGCCGTCATCAACAGGTGCATCTTCCCGGCGGAGAACGCGTGCAACTTCCAAAGCAGCAAACGGTCAAACGATGGAGCTTCCACTTCTTCGATTCTACTTCCACGGTCTTGCTCTCGTGGCCACTCTTCTCCTCTGGGGTCTTAGTGCCTGGAATGGTACTGTCAAGGCCCTTATTCTCGCCGTGTATCATGCCAAGTTGGCCGACGGAACTCCGCTACAGACGAGGTACACGGGAATCCAGCTAATAGACGTACCCATTGCCCTTCTCGTGGCTTTTTTCTTCTACGGCACCAACGGCTCGGTCCCAGGCTATCAGCTCTTCTTGCTTGATGCCTACTCCACGTTGCAATCCGCGTTTATCTGGTTGTATGTGGAAAGCTTCCGTCAGTCCGAGAAACCCAGATGGATTGCTCAGTGAGTGCTTCGATCAGCCATTTCCAGGCGCCTGTGGACAACCGCATTAACGAAGCATGCCAGGCCTGTTGTCTTCGGTCTGCTCTGGCAGGGATTTGGGGCCGCCATTTCCTTGCCGTTGTATTACGCGCTGCATCTGTCGTGGCTCCTGAGAGCACCACAGGCCGCCACGAGCGCTGTCGACCCGCGAGGCGCCAGAGTCGTTCACGCTGGGTTTCTGCTCGGGGCCTTCTTCCCCGCTGTCCTTGGAATGCTGCCGACCTGGACAGGCGCCGCGGCTCGGTCGGCCAGTGACCACCAGCGCATCCTTGCGGCGTGGCAACCAGACCCGCTCTGGGTCTCGTGGGTTCAATTGGCGCTGGCATTCGGGCTCAGCCGTCTTCGGCGGACCGAAGCGAGGGGTCCTTCCCCGCAGGACCGTACCTCTTGGTGGATACGGGGTGCATACCTGCTCGCGGCGACGTCGTCAGTCTCCGGACATCTTTACACCATGGCCACGGCGTTATCCGATCGCCAGCTCAGTCTGTGGCACATGTACATCCCCTCCGGTTGGTACGGACCATCTGGCGTCTCGGATGATATCTTGATCCGAGGGCCCTGGTTGTTTCTGCAGTGGGACCTAATCATCATCAGTCTGTCAAGTGTCTCCTGGGTTCTTGCCATTCTCCACCAGGCATTCGGGAAGAATTGTGGGCTTTGGACGCTCAAAGTGGGCCTCATATTGGTGCTTGGGAGCGTGCTGATCGGGCCGGGGGGCACAGTCTCACTGGCGCTCGCCATAAGAGAGGCCCAGCTGGAACGTTCGAGAAAGATGCATGCTCATTGGTCATAGTTTTGTCCGTTTGGGGGGACGAACATATTCCTTTGTGGTAGGTAGTTCCAAGAAGAAAGGCCCAGTGGGGAATCCCATCAACGCTTCACCCACTGGTGCCGATTCGGGCCGAGCCCCGAAAGGTAGTGACAGACATAAATTAACATAGCTTCTATTAATACATGAACATCCATATACAATAATCTTCTCGCTAATAGCTTAGGACAGCTCACAATTAACTTTTGTTACGCGTATGATGTCAGACCTTACCGCAAAAGTCATCGTCATCACCGGTGCTGCCTCAGGCATCGGCCTGGCAACCGCCAGACTTCTCGCGCAACAGGGTGCCTTCCTCTCGCTGGCCGACATTAATAAGTCCCGGCTCGGAGAAGTCGCAGACGAACTTCGCAAACTCTATCCCAGTGAGGTGCTGAGCACCGTGGACCCCGTTCTTACGACCGTCCTAGATGTCCGATCCGCGCAGGCCTGCAACGACTGGATTCAGAGGACCGTTACCCACTTTAACCAACCTCTATCCGGAGCTGCAAATCTCGCCGGCGTCTTTGGCAAGAGTATTGGGCAGGAGGTCGGGGCGATACGGAACATGACAGACCCGGAAGCGGACTTTGTGCTCGATGTCAACTGTCGGGGAACGTTCAACTGTCTGCGAGCGGAGTTAGTACATATGAAGACCGGCACCAGAGGGCGCCATGGAGGCAGTATTGTCAACGCGGCGAGTATAGCGGGGATTATGGGAGTCGAACACAATGGCCCTTATGTGGCGAGTAAGCATGCGGTGGTGGGATGGACACGGACGGCGGCCAAGGAGGAGGGGAAGAGGGCCATCCGCGTCAATGCCATTGCTCCGTAAGTTGATGCTTCATATTCTATAGCCAATGAATATGCCTTTCAACAGAACACTGATCGTGAAAAACCCCCTAGTGGAATCATTGCCACGCCGATGATCAGTCAGATCGAAGCAGCCGCCGGAACGACAGAGCTGTTTGGAGCAGGAGATCCGGGAGCATTGGCCCGAAAAGGCGACCCTGAAGAGGTAGCTGCAGTGGTTGTGTTTCTGCTCAGTGACCAGAGTAGTTTCGTCAATGGTGTGGTGCTTCCAGTGGACGGCGGTTGGATGTGTTGATTCCAATGTAGTTATAAGGGTGATATCCAGTGTTTTCTCCGCCCTTCTCTGTCCTGTATATACAATCCTGATTACGTTCAATATTGCTTAGACTGGAGTAGGAGCCGGTCCTCTCTGCTATACTTAAGTGCTTTCGAACTAAGTGAAGGATAGAAACTATGCACCATTTGGTTCTGCGTTCTAGACAAGAAGGCAAGTTATTGTGGAGCGAATAGAGTTGCATAACCGAACCGCTAAAATCGAATCCGACCCTCACCGAACTCACTGTGGTGAGGGTTCGGTTCTAAGCCTATGGAATCACACTGGTTTCGGTTTCCCTAGGTTAGAACCAATTTGAGTTTAGTTAAAACTGTTAGTTTCGATGTTTGAGGTTTTATTGGATTCGACTAATCAACCCTTACTGTTTTAGATAGAAATCACTAATTTCTAGGATATATCTAATAATTTTGATATC